TTGTGTGTGTTGTTTGTTGTGGGTTGCGTTTTTCACAGCGCTTATCACACACTTCATTAAGTTTGTTTCGCTTTTCATTTTGCATGCTGCACTGAGTCGTAATTATATCTTCGTGTGTATCTGTCAGATACCCCAACAAGTTTCACTTTTTCTTCTGCTATTGCAACATGTGCAACAAGTGCATGCTGCACTTGAAACCGAAAAACTACAACGGCAACAACAACTGAAACAACAGCTAAACACAAAATTGAAAATTTGCCACGCGTGAAAAAACTTAGGCTCAGTTAATTCTGCGTCCATGTATCTGTGAGATACAGTTTTTTGTCTATTATTCGTTAGTTGTTTAACAGGCAACAGTTTGTTGCCATTTAGCTGTTGGTGCTTTTTAACGCTTCGTTAACAAAAATAACAACAAATATTAGAAACCACACAAAATACAAAAAATAACCTTTATTTTTATGGCTGCCGCAGCTGAAATCATTAAATCATTTAATGTACCACGAAACCGAAGGAAAACTGAATGAAAACTGTTTAATGTGATCAAAAGTGATTTCTAAACTAAACACACGAAACTAGATTAAGCGGATATCACAATTCTGATTATGAGTATCTAATGTGACTAATTATAAATTATTAACTAGAACGTGCAAATGACTGCTAATGATGTAAGCATGAAAATCACATTCAAAGTGTAGATTAAATGTGTTGTAATGAAAATGAGCGATGAATTAAATATAAGCAGCATTTTGTGGTCTGAGAAACATGTATGAATAATTAGTTAGACTTTCATTTTAATAAGTTAAGAATTTGTCACGTGAACCAATTAAAAATCGGCGTAAGAGTAAAATGATAAGCAGAAGGAAGCATCTCCAATCCCATAAGGTATGTCTGTATGAAAAAGTTAATGTCAGATATTATAATAGGTAGAAACTTTAAATTTTCAATATATGTATTTAATTTTATCCATAACTGAACACAAAAACAAGCCTAATTATGAATATATAGCCCCCCTATTGATATACTCGTATATTGAACTATTATTAATCAACAGAGAAACTTTCATTAAAACGAATAAGTAACACAGAATGAAAACATTTTCTTAATATAATATTTTCTGCACGCCTCCAAGCTTTTTCTAGATTTAATAAAAGAATAATTATGCTTTATATTTCACAATATATTATTTCCCAAATATTATGCCCAACTTGAATGTTTCTTAACCCTTAGCCCAACATTATGCCAATTATGATATAATGGAGCTTTCTTTTAGTTTGTCAATTAAAACTGTTAAAAATTTTAATAATTTTCGCAGCGCACCCACAAAAAACAGAAAAACAATGTGCAAAAAGGTTTTGATGCACGAAAACAACAAAGCAAAAATTGGGCAAGCTTAGCATAAAAATCAACAAAAAACAAAAGAAGACAAACAGCAATCAACAAAAACAAATTAAAACTCGTCAAAGATAAACAAAAGCCCAAAAAACTAAATATAAAAGCAAACTGCAAACACAGCTCAAAACCATAAAAAAAATTAAAGATTTGACCAATTTAAGACAAAGTTGGAGATGGCGTTGCAGTTTTGTTTTCTTGTTGTTGTTCTTGTTGTTGCTATTGTTGTAATTTTAAATGATGTTTTATGCCAGTGCCACTTGAACTCTTCAGCATCTTTTGACGCAGCTTCAGCTTCATCTGCAACTTGATGATTTAAGATTTGCTGTTGTTAAAGCTGCTGGCGATTTGTTTTGGCCCTCAGCAAAATTGTTGTTGTTTTTTAGTTGTTGTCAGTCTTGTAATACAGCTTACTTACATACGTATTATCTTTGTTGTTGTTGTTGTAGTTGTTGCATCATCTGACAATTGTGCAATGAGTGCATTTAAGTATACTTATTTTATGATTATGAACGTAATCCCCATTGCAAGAGGGCCATTGATCTGGGCTTACGTTGAGTAGAGACTTAACTGATTAATGATTGAGAAATCTTTAATCTTGTCTTGTCACTAAAATATTGCAATTCTCAGAATTGCTGTACAGTAAAAAGTTTATTAAACCTACATGTTGCCACTGATTAGGACGAGTCTCTGCAAATATTTAAGTTAATGTTAATAAGATGGAAGCCAAGGCAGATGTAAGCATTATTTGGTCTAATGATATTTTATGTTTTATTTGCTTGCTTGTTCTACTAAATAATTTGTTAGCTCGGCTTGTTTTGTAAGAGGAAACACAAACACAGATTTAAGTTGTTTTTGTTGCAGAACAAAAAAGTTGCCTTAATTTCATTTCAAAAATGAATGGTGTCTTTTTTTGGCCTTCTCCTTCTTCTTCTTCTTCTTCTTCTTATATATATATATATAGAAAGTGCGCATATGGCTAATGTATTGTTTCCTTGTTGGGCGAAAAACTTTTTTTGCTGACTCGGCACGGAAAATGGGGAAAGACCAAACAAGACAAAATTTCTTAACAATTTCTTTGACTTGGTTTTGCGCACACGTGCGAATCAAACAATGGCAACTTGGTGTGTGGGAAGGGGATTAGATGGGGGAGGGGGAGTGACTGGGGAAGCGGGGGGTGTACACACAGGAAAACGACCATAAAGGTGCAGGTCCAATTGCAAGCAACATTTATCGGTAAAGAAACGTGTTGCAATTCGAACGCATAAAGCGATAAATCCGACCATAAAAAGACATATGAAAAATCGAAAGTGTGCACAGCAAACAAGCAAGGGGCAAGCGGCAAGCGGCAGAGGGAGGGGCAGTAGCAACAGAAAAAAAGGCGGCACCTGGGTGCAGCAGTAATCTGCATCTATGGTTTCTATGGCTATTTGCAGCTGCCTCGAACGCGTGGCAAGTTGCACAATGCAGCACAAATGTTGCCACGTATCAAAATTGGAGCAGAGATCAACGAGCTTCGCCGCTGCTTCGACACTCAAAGGCACCAAGGTGTGTGAGTCTGTGTGTTAGGCCTAAAGGCCCATAAGAGGGGGAGCGAAGTAAAGAAGGGGGGGGGGGGGCAGGGTGTGGTGGCAGCTGCACCCGGTTTCCGGCTGCCAGGTGTCATTAATGCATTGAACAAGCAAAGAGCCCGCGGCCCAATTGTGATTTTTTTTTTTTTTTTGCTATATGTTTGGTTCACATTGCGATCCCATTCAAGTATTTGGAACACTAGCTTCAAGTGGCTACAAACGTTTAAAAACCAAGCATTAAACGGTTGCAAATATTTAGAAAATTTTATAAAATTTGAAGGTTTGGCAAATGCGGTTATCGATTATTAGCAATTGAAATGGTTGAAAAATATTTCAAATAAAATAAACATGCATACCAAAATAAAATATATAGAAATGTTTACACAATTCAATGGAGTTGAAATGAGCTGAAACATTGTAAATAAAATAAATATGCATACCAAAATAAAATATAAAATTAACCGCAACTTTTTGTTAACTTTCATGTAATTTCCAGTTATTTCATATGAAATGCATAAATATTTATCTGCCGCAAGCTGACCTCAAAGCCCCGCTCGCCAAATGTTAATTAAATTTTTGCTAGCAATGATTAATTGACATCAATAGCTCTTTTTTATTGGCACTCAGCCGTAGAGGCAATTCAATTGTTAGCCATATAATACGTGAAACCGCAACTGAAATAACTGACCTACCCCAGCCACACACACACACACACACACACACACACACAAATGAGCCCTATCAAAATGATACGTTAGCTGATTCCAATGACGAACGACGCCAACGCATTTCAAAGTGAAAGTTGTTTGCATTTTTCATTTTTATTTTTTTGCTGTTATTTGTTTTAATAAATAAACGAATCGGTTTTTTGTAAAGCAACGCACCAAAAAAAGGGGGAGTAAAAAAAAGCTGAAAACCATAACAAAAATGTGCATACATTTTGTATTTACATTTGAAAAGTCACATGGCAGTGACAGAGATAAAAGTGTTGAAGTTTTGACCACTTCCAGCTGCTTAAGACTTGCCACTGATTTATGCGAAGAAACTAAAAACCTGAATGCCGGTTCAAGTTTAAAGGCGACATGAAAATATATATGTGATGTAATTTTCAAACATCTTTCTTTTGGCCAACAGTTGAACTTGGCAGCTATGCGGTTTCATTTTCGTTTACATTTTATTGCAATGCCAAACGTAATGAGTACAAAATTTACATATCAATGCGTTTTAAAATGCCCAAACGCTGAGTGTGATATAATCGGTTCGCAGTGAGCTGAGCTGGTAATTAATTAATATACCCAAGCGACCGCTGGGCGGATTCAAAATTGTTGTTAAGTTGTGGTTGGAGTCAAGTCAAAAAGTAGATCGACCTTTGCTGTACTATTTAATCATGCTCCAACTCCAACTTGTCTGTCAAACCAGTTCAAACAAGATTTGCTTGGCAGATCAAATCAAACTTGAAACTTGACTGCAGCTGTCAAAGTTCATGTAAGCTGTTGAGAATTATGTTAATTTACATTCATTTACATATGTTAACTAGCAGCATTTCAACAGTCACAAAGAAACTTTGGCTGAGTACTTTTCTCGTACTTTTATTTGATCCTATCCTGAAGATTCCCCGCTCTAAGATAAGTTGACAAGAGCAGAGAGTGAAATTATATTTTCAAATTCTCACCATGCACGTGTGTTTGTTTCATGTCGCAGTCAAGGCTTGTGTTTTAGTTGACAACAAGTTGAATTGGTTTTTGCCTGTCAAGTAAATGTTAAAATTATGTGTCTGGCAAACAGCTCGCTGACAATTTGGCAGGGCTCGTGGAGAAATTGTTAGATTGTTAACGATGGTCGTTGAACTGAAATAAAGCAAAGAAAACCTAATTTGGCAACAAGTTAAAGTACTGCTTAACTTTAACCAACTTCAAACGCCTTGCAACTGCAACATGTGTGTCAAACCTGGTCGGCAGTTGTAGACTGGGTCTGCAAGTCTGCGCTTGAGCAGACTCAAGTCTTGTAATCAGTCAAGACGCGAGCGCCTCACGAAGCGCATGCGCAACGCGTTCCAATTGGATTTTGAATAATATTTTTTGGATACGGCCTGCTCAGAAATTGTTTACATCAAAAACTTATCAGAAGTTTGGCCATGCCTGCCAAGCGCATTAACGGATTCTATGTGCCGCGACTGAAACGTGTTTGAAATTCGCAAAACAAAATCAAAAAACATAACTGTGAAAAGTTTATACTCAATAAAAGAAAGGTGTCAACAGATAAAGAAAAGCAAACCACAACAACCAAAATCAATTAAGCTTAAAAAGGTGAATGAATTTCCTGAAATGGCAAATTGGGTCAAACGTACAGAAAGTTAGCTGATTAACCGACTGCCAATGAATAACAATCAGCAAAGCCGACACTCGACCATCTCTATAAGAACAAACACTAAACTGGTGGGCAGACTTCTGACTTCAGACTTAATGCTTGGGCTTGTCTGGGGTTCTCACTCATTTTTTTGTTTCGACGTGGGTTTCCGTTGCAATTCCAATGTAAAGAAGACCATTTTTGGTTTAATGATGATGAAGTTCATCAAGTCTTCACAATTGTCTCGTTAAAGTCATACGCCCAGGCATGCAAGTGAAGAATCGCAAGGTTTATGGAGAAGACACTGCTGAGTCATTTCTTTAAGCACTTGCCATAAGATGTTCTTTTCTCTCTACTTTTGTTCGGGATTCTTCTCTCTTCGGTTGTCGTTTTAGGGCGCGGTAAATGCGTGACGCGAATTTGATAAGCAAATTAGAAGATTCTGCAAAGAGGTTCTATTCTTTGATTTAACTGCTCAGAAGAAAGCAATCCAGGTAGCTTTATAGATATGCTTAAAGTGGAGGAAAGTTTTTAGTGAAGAACGAATGTGAGATGATTTTGAAATAGCTGCTTTCTAACTACCTAAGACTCTTTGACATAGAGTCAGAATCGATTTGAGTAGTAAGATAGGAAATAAAATATCTCATGGGCCATGTGAATCATTCGATGTATATTTCCACTCCCTATTTTTCACATTTTAAACATTTTTGAAACAATTCTCTGCATATTTTTGAGTTCAAATAAACGATAATATCTCAGACAGTTAATTAGCGGCGATCGATCCTCATTTGTCAGAGATATCATCAACTGTGATGTAATTTATTTATTTATAGACGTTGGTATTTCATGCGAACATAATTCGCATAATTTGCAAGGTCGTCGAACACACATCAAACTTGTTTCTTTTTTGGCCAAAACCATTTGACTCACTGCCAAAATATGCAAAAATGTAAAAAATAAAGAAGCGTTTGATTATTACGAATAATTACTGAATAATGATGATTAGCAGTTCGATGATCATTAACAAATGTATGCGAACCGAACTCGAACCGAATGCATTGGGAATATATGAATAAAGTTTGACGTTGATAAATCAGGAAATATATTAATGATACAAACAATGATAAACTATTAACTTGAAAAATTCAAAGCTTTGCTTAATAAAAATACAAAGCAGACCATTATTAAAAGTTATTGGAATAAAAACATGTCAACAAAAAAAAACATAAATTTACACAAAAGAATACTTTAAAGTCAACTGAAAATTGTGTATAAAATGGGTATAAAAAGTAGCTTGAAGTTGAAAAGTTGTACAAAATTAATGGATTAATAATCAATAAGAACATCGAATGACATTTTTTTTTTGGAAGAATGAATATATATAATTGATTTACGTTAAGCCAATTGAGCTGTCAAAAATTTGAAATAAACTTAATCTGCATATGGCATATTAAATATGATTAAATGACTCAAGAATAAATTACTGAAATGGTCGGAAATATCTTCATTTGATTGCAGTCTGCGTTTAGGCAATTTTAGTAGGCATTTTTTGCTAGCCATAAAAAGTGAAGGCATTTAATAATGATTGCTTAAATTTCTGTCGAGTTTACCTTTACTAAATATGCATTTATGAGAGCACTTACGGCTTTTATAGGCACTTTCAAAAGCCGTAACACGTTTCAAGCATTGCGGTTTGCTATTCATTTATATCAAATAAAATGTACTTTATGTTTGCATATCAAGGCACACAATTACATTATTGAGTACTAAGCGTTTTAGTTAAAAATTTATAAGTCAAGCTCAGCAACTAGCAATTGAGCTCTCTAAATTATGGGGACAACCAACCACCAACTTGATCTTGACACATTTGATATGCAAATGGAATTAATACGACAAAAGAGCAACCAGCCAGCAATTTTCTGCATAGGTAGCAATTAGCTAAATGTGGCTAAGCTCTTACTAAATGAATAGTTTTAGATATATATATAGTAGCTGCTAACTGCACTGCAATTGTCTTGGGCAGCACACATGACGTATACGTAATATGGATTTTATGCAACAGCAGCTGCAACTGTCTAACTGTCTGCAACTGTCTGATTGTGTTTGTGTGTGTAAATTCCATGCCTCACTAAGCGTTGCAAGAAATAATGTATAATAAATCAGAAAATGGGTAACCAAAGCCTGTTTTATTTGCGTGCATTGATACGAAAACAGTTTGAATAACTAACTGTAGTAACTATGGGCATTTCATATAGGTAACTGTATATAGTTATATATATCTATATATATATATTTATATTCTGGTATTTATTGTCTAGCATGACAATTTGATTTGCGTGCCAAGCCAAAGTCACGTTGCATTGTTTATATTGCAATTTATTTTGTGTATTTTATAAATATTTCTCTTGTTGTCGTTGGGAAAACAATATAAGCAAAGAAATTCAAAAATAAATGTTTGGGCGACATTGTCACCCTCATTTTAGCCAGGCCTAGAGACACAGACAGAGAGAGAGAGAGAGAGAGTGAGAGAGGTGGCGAAAATGAGCTCAACATGAAACCCATAGAAATGTTAATCGATCGTCCCAAGAAATTAAAACAAAAACCCATGCAAATTAGCAAATTGCACATGCCTTAAAGAAATATTGCATAACTCTACGCTTCAAATGGGCGTTACCAAAAAGCAAAAAGCCCCAAATAGCCAATAACCAATAACGAAAAAAAAACAATATTCAATATTCAATAACATATCTTCGCCGTATTAATGCTAAACACAAATTCAAACAACAGGTGGGCAGACATTAAAATGTTCAGTTTTAATAACCAGCTGCAATTTGTGAAGACGATGATGGACATGTGAATGTGAATGGGTTGATCAAAAACTAATTACAATTGTAGATACCCTATAATAAATATCTTATTTATAGAGAGGTACATGTTCATAAATAACAGAATTTTCTTTATACTCTATCAATGTTGACAGATCTTTTGTTATTTACCTGACACCTTTTTACTATACAAAATTTGATAACTGGACCTTCGATCTATGCTCCATGCTTCAGATCATTATTTATTTCTATTTTAAAATCGATATTCGCAAGATTGATGAAACAAAAAATCTTTTGTTAAACTTAAATCAAAATAAGTTATAAATAATTTATGTTGGGTTTTTTCAAGCTACGGTTTGGGCTGCATAAAGTTAAAATAGTTTTGTTAAAAAAACCTTCAAAAAATAGTTGGAAATATATTTAGATGTTCACGTCAAACAATTATTTTAATTTAAAAAAATGCACATATTTGTTAGCATTATAAAAATACCAAAACAGCAATTATTGTTAGCTTTAATTATGAAACTGTTATTAACACCTTATATAATCGAATATAATCCAAGCATATTTACTCTATTTTAGTAGTTGTTTAACTTATTTGTTTTGCAACTCAACAAGTTTGCATTTTTCAATTGCATTTATGTCAGTTTGCATTTTGTTTACATTTTTTTATCAGGAAGAGTTAACAGATTTTTAATTAAAAAGTTTCTGACTTTGTCAAATGCAACTAAGTACATAAGCCAATTACAGTTGATGGCCATATTATGCAGAAAAACTAATTAAACTTTGAAATGACATTTGGCTAGTAAATATTTAGAAAAAATACAAGCAAATAATAGAGAGTGCTCGACTGGGAGATGCCCTGTATAGCTTATGTGTTTTAGAATAGATCATCATGAAAATTATGTTAAAGAAATAAAGTTAGAGATTGGAAGATGCCCTACTTAAAGAACAAACTTCTGTGTTTTAAAAAGAATCATCAACATATATGTAGGTTAGTAAAAATGATTAAAAATCTATTTCTTACAAAAGCTAGGATATTGGTAATGATATCGACTATATTTGTACTCCAGCATAAATAGTCTCATAGATTAATCGACATTTATTGAAGCATTTTGAGGTGATTGCTTTGTTGCACAACTGTTTGTTTTGCTTTAACTATTTAAAAACAAGTAAACCAATTAAAGTCCATTTCTATTTAAGGAAAACTCGTAAAGATGTTTATATATGCTTATGGCCAGCAAGTTTGACCACAAGTGGGATAATATTGGTATTTGAAATCGCATTAAAGCGCACTTATTTATGTAGATGCAATCTCCATCAATTGTAGCACCTGTCGCTGTCGCCGAGCGAAGGTGAGCCAGTGGCTTTTTTGCGCAGACATAAAAATAAGCATATATATTTAAGATGGAGCTGTTTATGTGATGTGGCAGCCACACAGATTTGTGTTGACAACATTTCTGCGGCATTAAACGAGTTGATGGCCAGGCAGGAAGAGTTTGCCGAATGTGGCAAACAAAACGATTGCATAAGCGAGCCATTGAAAATAACAAAACCAGTTACGCACAACTCACACACTCTCTCTCTCTCTCTCTCTCTCTGTCTCAGTTTCTAGCACAGCCTACCCGTCTCTTTCTCGCGATGCGGGAACGCAGTCAGACAACACCGCGACGCCGTCGAACGGGTCCCAAACAGCCGCTGCCCAATGTGGAGCCCACATACAACATGAGCACCACTGAGGATATATACGGTACGACTCTGTTGCCATCGCAGCGTCGCTATATGGATCCCTGGGATCTGGAGAATTACGATTATGTGCGCAAGAAAATGGACATTGAGGTAACGCCGACTACTGCAGTCGTGCCCGACTATGAAACGGCCCTGGATTACGCACCGGAATCACATTCGCCGAGTCCGACGGCTGTTTACAACATGACCTTGTCTTCGACAATGCCACGCCCACACACGAGACGCCTCTCGCGCACCCAGTGCCAGCTGGAGTGCTGTCGTCTGCCCAGTCGCAGTCGCAATCGTCGTCTCAAGGAGCCACTCTATGCAGCCCGCAGTGAACTGTATGGCATTGCACCGAGCCGATATGATGACTATATGGCCACCATGACCAGGCAGCTGCATATCGACGACGATGATCAGCTGGATCAGCAAGAGGAGCTGTATGCGGAACAGCGACAGCTATACAATGGCTATGGAGGTGGGTTCTTAGATCAAGTGCTACATTTAAAGCTTGAACACAAACTTTACTCAAAAATTTGTACGTTTACAGGTTTTTCCAGCGCCAGTTCCACGGAGCAGCACTCGTCGATTGGCGATGAGATGCCCACAATGACAACACTACCACGTCGGGCGACAACTCTACATCGTCGTCCCCAGACCAGCAGTCAGCAGATCAAGGAGCACTCGGGAAACAATTACAACTCGGGCTATGGAACAGCACCGCTTCCGAGACGCAAGCGTAGCACTAACAACAAATCAACGAATTTGATGCAGGGTGCTCCGTTAGCATCCGCACCACCCGCACCACCACAGATTGAGTTTCCTGCACCGCCGCCGCTATCGCCCGCCTATGATTATTGCAATCCCTATGCTACAATGCCGTATTGCAGCCTACCGGATTGCGATGAGTGCCAGCAGCAGGCAACCTCGTTGATCTATGCAGCACCTTCCACACTGTACGGCACTTTGGCGGGCGGTAGGGTTGCCACCCAATACGATTCGACATCGCCCAGCGATTCGTCGCTCTACGCCGGAATTTATGCCCGTAAATTTGGCTTGAGCAAGAAGGGTCTGCTGCAAATTGATTACTCGTGCAGCTGGAATGACTTGGATCGCGTCATGGGTCGTCAGTACTGAGTGTGTACTGTACAGTAGTTCTTGGGTGTTTGGCTTAGTCTCTAGTTAAACTATTCGTAGTCTAAGGCGAGATACATTTGTAATTAACTCATTTCACATATAAAAACACACACAACAAATCAACCCGTACCAAATAATTTACATCGTTTTAGTATCGCTTTAGTCGTTTGCCCAGTCACGCATAACAAACGTGCAACAAAGTCTTCGATATTCATCGAATAAAGTTGAAATTTACAAAAAAAATAAATAAATAAACAAGTTCACAAAGAGGTTTTATTATATCTGAAAGTTTTCTTAACCTAAAGAAACTAGGGAAAACCAATTAAATATTAATAAGAACAACGATTTGTGTCCAAGCAGAGCCACAAATTATCGAATTGATTTATTGGGTTATTGATAAAAATTTAATAATTTATTAATTACTAAAAATACAAATGAAATAAAATTAATGCATGAAAAGCACTTGTTTAAAGCACACTCCTAAAACTATGCCACATAAACCCAAACAATTTGAGAGTGATATCAAAAGCAGCACACCTCCTTCACACACCCACAAATGAGGCACACACACACAAAATTGATTGCAGACATTTAGGCCGCATTTAGGGCAAACAGCAATTTCCACAAATCTACATATGGATAGTCTATAAATAAATTGCATTTAATTAGCTGCTATATTCCAATACAGGCAGCAATTAGTAAGCTTGGAAAATGCGAGGCAAATTCATCAAAGTCAGAGCAAAAACATTTTCCATGTCATTTGAAAATTGTCAAAGCCAATGACGTCCTACGACAACTTTGCCTAATTGGCCAACTCATGAGCTAACAAAAAAAAAAAAAATAACACATATAAAAAATAGAAAAACAAAACAGAGGCTCGATGACGTCATAATTAATTAAAGTGAAATGATGGAGGTTTTTATGGGTTGTCCTCTAATGCCCTAAAAAAGGGAATTTTCGGTTAGAGCTGAGATATGCAAAGCATAGACACAGTCATTTAAAGAATCATATATGTTTATAGATAAGTCTAGATGAGCAATAGTCTTCGAACTTGTAAAATTTAAACTCAACTTTAAAAAGCAAAAAGAGATGCGAAGGGTATTTAATCTGCAGCATGATTTTGTACTTCAGGTTTTCATTTCTTTTTTCTCCCTCTTTTAAGTCAGCTTTGTTGCAGTGGGCGCCTAAATTAGTTTGGGGATAGCTCTCAGGGCCCATGAAAGTTGTAATTTGTTAAAAAGCAGCTGCAAATTGGGCACATCAGAGGAAGTTAATTAGCTGCTACACCGAGCCAGGCAGTTAACTGAATTATGCATGGATAGTTGAGAGCATAGAATAGAATAGAATGACGCTAAGTGAATAACTTCAGAGCGGTTCATATTCATAGTTAATAGGAATATGGCATGAGATCATGCGGAGAGAGCCACAATCTGTCCAAAAGTGGACTTTTTTTTTCCAATTTCCATGTAATTATACTAAAATCGTGTATGGTTAAAAATTTCTTATGGGAAATTCAAGTTTTCCATGTGCTTACACATTTTCTTTTCTATTCATATTCAAAATTGATAAGCTCAACTTTGATTGTGTCTATATTTTTCACAAGTAAAACAACTTTTCGCAGACACTGTCTGCATTTGTTTTGTCTGTTTCTGTTGCCAATCTGTTTTATGATAATATCTCGGGTCACTTACACATTTATTTACATTGTTTGAGTTCTGCTTTTGGCCAACTCATTAAACTTTATGGACAAGAAGCAACTTCGACGGGATTATAGCTGCCACATCAAGTTAGATAAGCAACTATATAAACACAAAAACACAAACAGAGGTAAGCACTATATATAGTGTACATTGGCATGGGTATATAGAGAACAAAATCAATAAGACAAATAAGACAAGAACATTTCAATTGCTTGCGAACTGTTTTACAGTTTCTGTCTGTCTGCTTTTTTTCAACATTTCTTTGCTTTCGCTGTGAATGCGATTTCAATTTCTCAATCCAATTTACCTTTGCAATATCCAGCACTCAATACCCAGCACCCAATACCAATACCAATACAAATAGCAATGCTTAACATCAGCACGAATGCGAGCACAAACACAAATACAAACACACACACAGGCAAATAGCAATGCGAATGAGAAGACAAATAGAATGCACAAGTAAATCATAAAAAGAAAGAACTCAAACAAAAATCTGCATACAAAAAAAATGGTAGTTTTTGAGGGTATGAAAAGAGTACTGAGAGATACCCTGTAAGTAAGTAACCAAAAAAAACTTTAAAAATAACGATAACTTTGAAAAAATTTTGCTTGTTATTTGGAATGTTGGATATATAAGATCCCCTTAAAATTATGATTAATCTTGATAGAAGTCTCTAAATATCAAACTTTAAAATCAGAAGATTTTGCTGAATTACAAGCCTTTTAGATATACCTATATCCGACATATTCTGACTACATATAATATGTATAATCTATACATTTCTCTTACAACATACATATTTATATGTATAATGACTTTATATACTTATCCCTTTAGTAGGAACTGACGTTTACAAATATTTCCGTGGTTTTATGTCCTATCTTACCCAACTACTTCATAGCTGCAGGGTATAAGAATGTTCAAAAAACAGCTCGTAAAACCATTGACAGCAGGTGGGCGGCTTGGTCGGGAACAAGTGTGAATAGTGCAAGGGGAAGGGGATGTGCGGGGTTGGGGGGAGAAGGCAGGGTTGCCCCTTCATTTGGAAACTTGCACATAAAAGCGCAAATATTTGCGCAACATTTTCAAACATCGTCGTCGCAGACGCGGCGATAAAAATCGAACAAGAAAATATATGCAAAATGAGACGCATAAAAAAATATAAAAAGCTGAGTAAAAAACTGGAAGAAAAAACAACTAAAATAAAGACGAAATTTTTCTTTACGCTTTCCTTCTGCACAAACCTACATACATATATAGAAAATATATATTTGTGCTCGGATTTGCTTTTTATTATTGTACACACAGCGTCAAACATTTGCATGCGGCGACGGCGCCTAAATGTATGCCACAGTTTCTGCGCCACTGCCCCTTAGGAAATGTTGCATCCCCTCCATCCCCACCACTCCCCCTCCCCAGCCGCTTCTTTACAACGATTTATCCAGCAAGCCATTAGCATTTGCATTTATGTGCGGCGCCAACACGAACCAGTCCCATTCAGAACTTACCAATCCCCTCCCCCCACGGACTACCTATCCACCCCCCCTCGGGCCTTGGTACTGTCCTACACAGGCCACTGTTTTTTTATGGGGACATGCAAATCGCTGCGTGAATATTTCGCACTTCACTGAATTGAACCGAAGCGAACCGAAAGACCCTGATGTGCTCAACGTGTACTAAATTGGTGAATCCTGGCAGGCTGCCTGCTCACCTGCCTGCCTCCCTACCTGTCCACCTGCCCGTCACCCTTCGCCCAAAAGGTGATCAATTTGCATGCTAAAAAACCGGACGAGAAAAACTGTTGGCCAAGAGAAATGCATTCCCGAAAACGAAACGTACTCAACTTCACATTGTGTATATTTTGCAGTAGAATACAGTAAAAGATACGAATTTGAATCGATATTTGAGCATTGAAAACTTATCTGAAACTCTACACTTCTATTAGACTTTTATCGATAAATTTATGATTATTTAAAATATGCAATATTATCAATTAAAATTCAGAGCTGTGACTGAAACTGAAACTAACTATTCTTTAACAACCAGTTACAGTTACACTTATATATAAGATAGTTCATTAATGTAAATAATTTCTAATCAATCTTATCGATATCGATATTACATTAGTTAAAAGGGTATTGGCTTTTAATGTGTTGATAGCCAAACTCTTTTATTGTTAGTTGAGTATCGCTAAGAAATATCTTGCTTTATTAAATGAGTGTTAAAAGATAGTCAAAAATTTACAATATATGCTTTAACTACAAAAAAAAGTGCTTCAAGAACACCCACAAAGTATTTGAGCTTGGCCATAGAAAGCTGAGATTAAACATTTGTCACTTCTGCAGCAAAAACCTAAAATGCAAAGAATTTTTTAGCTATTTTTCTGCAACCATGTTTCACATTTTTGTGCGGAAATCCAAAGTGGAAAATTGTAAATTGCATATTAAATGACGATTGCAGTGGAAATGGCAGTTCCACTTGCTACAAATTTAAAGCAATCACGTTTTTGCTGATGACAAACGAGCCGCAGCGCAGACTGGCAAACTGCCATTATGCATTATCTATTCAGGAAATAGAGAATTTTGCACCTGAGCGAAGTATTACTTTAATCTAGTGCCTTGACAAAAAAGCAGTAAATTAAGAAAGAATAGCTACACTCTGTAAAGGATATAGTTACTATGGGTATATATATTTAGTATCTTGAGTAGGTAAAATAATAGTCCACATTAAAACCGAACTGACAAAGTTCTGTAAGTTTAAAGTTAGCAAGATATATATAAAATATGAAAGGAAATGTTATTTTAAACTATACAAATCGGATACTTTCTATCTGTTAACTTTCAATCATTATCATTATCCAATTCCTTTTGTTATACAATAAATATTCATGATAAGCTTTTCAATTAGGTTTCCTTTGTATTCATATAAGCTGCTCGGTGGGTGTAGAGTGTTGTTGTGGTGTGTGTGCAAATGTGTGTGTGTGTGCGAGTGTGTGGGCCTGTTCATTGTTTCAAATGCCCATCATATATCACGCAGTAAAAAGTTTGGGTCTTAAGCCTCATGGAAATATGTGTGTATACACAGGAAAAAATCACATTTTAGTATAGAAAATTAGCACAAAATGAAAATCGCACTAAAAATGATAAAGTTTTACTTTCTAAATATAAGAAAACAGTTTTTTTTATTTAATTATTAAGGTTTTTTTTTTAATTATTTTCTATTATTAAAAAGTGCAGTATGGGGAATTTGTGAGTGTGTATATATTTTTTGATGTTGCTTGCTGCAGCATGTCAAAAATCTGCAACTAAATGCCGTCATAAATTACAGCCAGCTGTCAAAATTCACAATTGCTGTTGTTAGCTTGGCAACGCATGCAAACAATGAGAAAATGTTAAAAATAAACTCGAAAACTTAATTAAACTTTTGTTTTGCTTCGCTTTTTTTCTCGTCAGAGAAACTGAGAGAGCCAAGTAGAACATATATATATATATATATATATTTGACAAACTGAGTCAGTTGTCAGCTGTCGAAATGGCTGCCT